GAGCAGGAAGTGGTTAAGAGGCAGAAGAGCAGGGGGCCCTCGGGCTAGGCACTGCTCCACCCCAGAGCTGGCTGTGTCTGGGCCCCCACCCAGGGGCCCCAGCCCCTGGCAGGCCCCGGCACCACTCCCCTGGGCAGGCAGAACGCAGTGTTCTCCTGGAGCCACTCCTAGCCTCACCAGTCCAAACCAGCTCCCTTAAAGGGACAGCGTCACCTCAGGTTCCACTGAAGGCCTGCTGGGAGGGGGAAACTGAGGCACGGGAGACCAGACCCGCTGCCCCACTCCACTCTAACCATTAGGCAGCCAGGCTGCTTTGCTATCCCCTCTCCCCACAGCCCTGCATTTAATCCCCCTAGCTCCAGGGGGCAGGGGATGGAAGCACCCCAGATGCCTGCTGGGAGGGGGAAACTGAGGCACAGGGGGAAGGTCAGGGGGGAATAGACCCTGCACCCCCACCCTGCTATAACCATTAGGTAACCAAGCCGCTCTGATAACCCTCCCCACGCACTTAACCCTCCCAGCTGCAGCAGGAGGGCAGGGGGCAGCATCCAACTGGCCCCAGGACTAGGGGCTGAGAGAGGCACAGAAGGGCACCCAGAACATGTCTGCCCAGGGGATGGACTGGCCCAGCCAGCCCCCCTGCCAGCCATGTGGGCAGCAGGACTGGGCACGCTGCATGGTGCGATGCCCACCTGGGAGCACTAGAGCTGACCTGCTTGAGCAAGAGGATAGTGGTCCGAGCATAGAGGTAACTCTGGCCTTGGCCCTGTGGCTGGGGGGAACCCAAGAGGAGCAACACCTCCGGCTCGCACGAGCATTGCTGCCACATGCGACGAGCTCACACAAGCGTTGACCCATGTACTACCATGACATGTGAGGCTCACACAACTGTTGACCCCTGTGATATTATGACATGCATGTGGCTTGCATAACTGCCAACCCATGTGCTACCATGTCCCAGACTCGTATGACTGCTGACCCATGTGCTACCATGACACGCATGGGGCCAGCGTGACTGTGCAAGCCTGGCATGTCACAGCAGTGCATAGATTAGCAGTCACTGATACTTGCTCCCATGACACATGCGGGACTTGCACCATTGCTGACCTGTGCACTACCATGACAGACATGGGCCTCACATGACTGCTGACCCGTGTGCTACCATGACACACATGGCTCATGTGACTGCTGACCCATGCACTGCCATGACATGCCAGGCTCGCACCATTGCTGGCCTATACGTTACTGTGACACATGAGGCTCACAGCACTGCTGACCCGTGTCCTAACATGACATGGGCATTTTTCACACCATTGTTGACCTGTGAGCTACAATGACACGAGGGGCTCACACCATCACTGACCCATGTACTACAACACATACCATTGCTGACCCATGTGCTACCATGACACACATGGAGCTCACACCATTGCTGATCCATGTACTACCATGATACACATGGTGTTCACACCATTGTTGACCAATGTACTACAATGACACACATGGAGCTCACACCGTTGCTGACCTGTGCACTACCATGACACACGCAGTGTTCACACCATTGGTGACCTATGCACAATGACACATGCAGGGCTCACACCACTGCTGACCTGTGTGTTACCATGACACGCATGGGGCTCGTACCACTACTGACCCATTCACTGCCGTGTCACACACCAGGGTCATACCAGCACGTATACACACTGCTGTGATGCACACCAGGCTCGCACCGTTGCTAACCCATGCGCTACTGCAACACACATGAAGCTCACAGGATGGCTGACCTGTGGGCTACCATGACACATACAGGGCTGGCACCACCACTGACACATGCTGCTGTGACACATGGCCCCCCTCAGCCCCCCTCTTGCTGGCAGCTCTGCGACGGCCCACGCGTGGGGGCGGGGATGACACATCCCAGCCACTGCCTGTGTGCGTGTGGGGGAAGTCACACTAAGGACACTGCCAGGAAGAAGTGTGCCCTCCCTCCCCACAGCAGGCCATGGCAAAGCCCTGGGGGGATTTCCGGGGCCTGCCCTGCCTGGGAAATCCAGCCAGGCCTGGCACATGCACGCACTGAGGCCAAGACCATGCCCCCTAGTGAGCATGCAAGCACACACACACACACAGTCAGGACCCAGGTGTCCAGGATGCACACACACGCGCACACATACACACAGCCCCCCAGCCCCAGGAGAGCATACGCAGCACCCAGGTGTCTGGGACACAGGCACGTGCGTGTGCGCGCACACACAGACATACATACTGAACCCAGGCATTTGACACGCTCGCATGCATGCACACATATGCACATGCAACCTAGGGCTCGTGGGGACAAAAATATCGCACGCGCGCCCCCCGCAACTGGGACACACGTGCCTGTAGGACCCGAGCGACCAGGGCACGCACGCAGGAGCCAAGCATCCATCCTCCCCCCAGACGTCCAGGACACCCACCTGCCAGACCCTTCAGGACAGTACAGCACCGAGCGCAGCTGGGCCGGGATCCAGCCGGCCAATAGCCAGTGAGTGGGGCAATGACTTCAGCTTGACTCTGGACCTATGTGGTGTCTGCACCAGGCTCCTGGGGGCCAGGTCGCGCCCAGATCTGCGTGTACAGCACCTGACACTGAGACAGGCCTGGCCTGGCCCAACAGATCTCAAGCAGTCGCCCACTTACTCTAACTGCTCTCCCACGCTGCCCGTCCCAGAGCCCAGGGCCTGGGCTCCCCGCCCCCGCCTAGCCGGCCTCGCCTGCAGGCTCAGTCATTTTGGGCCTCTTCAGCCCCCGGACACCTGAGCTCTCCTCTGCCAAGCCACTGCCTCACCTGAGAAACGGGCACAGGGTGAGATTAACAAAGCCCCCAGACACCTGGGCTCTCCGCTAGCTGCTTCCCTGCTCTGCCTCAGTTTCCCCACCTGAGAAATGGGCTCGGGGCAAGACTAAGGAAGCCCCCCCAGTCTCCACCGAGCCTGCCATGGCTTCCCGGCCGGGCGGGACGAGCTCGCCCAGG